ACTGGTGCTTGGTTTCCAGAGCGCTTTCTCTCCAGCTGGGCCTCACCCTGCTGACTCCTCTTATCTCCTGACTCTCAGCATAACTCTCTCCATACAGCTTTCCTCTGGTGTGCTCTGGCAATTTTCTACAGAGGATCTCCTCACCAGGCTGCATCTCTTTCTGCAAACATGTCAGGACCCAGCAGGAAGAACACAGTTCACCTGTGAAACTTAGAGTAAATTCTCCAGTGCAAAATCAGGGCAGTGATCTTGAGTTCTTGAAAGGTGGGTGGATGAGGGCTAAGTCTTCAGTCAGCATTGTTCACCTCTTCTCCAAGCAAGGCCTTATGACAGACTGAGCACACCTTTATGACCTGAATCACAGAGCAGAAAGCCCTGGACCACAGGCTTCTCAGTGGCTCTTTCTCAAAGCTCCTTGTAATCCTGTCGTCCTCTCCAGGACAAGGACTCCAGCTTCTCAGGGTGTATGCTGCTGTGCCACTGAAAATGAGCTGAACTACAAGAGATCAGGGCAGATTTTACAAAAGGAAACAACACTTGGTTTCCAAAAGCTTCTCATGAACCAGGTTTATACAGATTCCACAGGACTGGCTTGAGCTGTTCTTAATGCAAGAAAAGTTGCCGCTGGAAACCAGAGGGCCTGTAGTTTTCTAACCCACCCAACGTACCATGGCATGGCTACCCAAAGGGTGCCTGGCATCAGGAACCCTTCCTAGGCACATCGTGTTACATCAGTCCTTTCCCACCAGACTCCCAGAGAGCAAGCTACATAAGGGCTACTCTCTGCTCTCAACTGTATGCTGTCTTGCACTCATTCTAAATGTGTTCACATGCCATGCCTGTGTTCCCAGGCTCTCTACAGAGAGCTCTGCATCTGGCACTTAGCAGACTGTTAGCACACACAGACCCTCAATAATACATGCTGCTCTGGAAACACATCTCAGCTCTAAGCTTCCATCTAAAATCTGCATATACTCTTGTGTCCAAGCTGTGTATTATCTAGAATTAGACATCTATTTAGTGAGGGTCCAAACATACTTCTTTCAAAGTTCTTCCAGCTTAATTTATGCACAGAGTATTTATACCTGCAACATCAAACAAAAAGGTATAAACAACACGGCTGTAGCTGTAACTGTGCTTCATTCTGCCCACACACCAGAGCTGACAACTTCAAAATGAGGTGTCTGCCTTCTCCTAAGTCAGAGCATGCAATTTTTCTCCAATTATACTTTAATTCATGAGTAATCACACTTTTCAGGAGGTAGCAAGTACAGGGGGACTGGAAGTCAGAGAGAAGGAGGGCATGATGAAGTATTAAATAATTTTACTTGAATTTGTACCAACAAGTATTGCACAAATGTGTCTGTTTCTAGAAGCCAGGTGATGAAGATACATCATGCTCCTATCACAAGCATCCAGAAACAGCTCTTCTACCAGCCATAATTCAGCCTCAAACAGCCTGCTTCTCACTTGGGTTTCCTGATTGCTTTGCCTAAATTCCCATTTCATCATAAGGCATTTTCCTCCTCCTAACTTTTACTTGAGGATTGGGATATGACCTTGAGATGGCTCTAACAACTGCACCATCTCTGGGATTTGAGATCTACCACTGTGATATGTCTTATCCATGCCCAGGGGAAATTAATTTTAAAAACAAAACAACAAAAAGACCACCCTAGAGGAGCTGTATGAAGTTCTAAATTTTCAATCTTAAACTGTATGTTAAAATTTTAATAACCAGGATATGTGCATGACACTCTAAGATACAGAAATAAGACCCCTGATCTCAAAAAGCTTCCAAACTAATAGGAAAGATGTTCACATAAATAATTTTACCACTGGCCAGCTCCGACCCACCTTCCCTGTCGTCCTTGACTGTCCTGTTTGGCCCATCTCAGGACAGAGGGCAGCATCTGCCTCACATTTAATCCCATAATCTGGGAATCACTCCTCACTCATGGTTTCCACTGTGCTTTATGTCTAAGGCCAAAACACCACCATTACCTTTCATCTCCCTGAGAAATACCTTTTCCATGATCTGCTTCTATGCTACAATTTCTGAGTAGCAAATGTCCTGACTTTCAGAGTAAGTGCCCTTCAGGCTGCTGTTCCAGCCAAAGCCTTCTCATGCTTGTCTGTGCTCTTAGAAAACACTCTTTGTGCTGTCCCATACAACCCTATACTGGCTGGCCCTTGACGGCCTTCATCTCACTGTGCACCACTCTAACTGTATTCCAGCGACTCTGGCCACTTTCCCTTTCTCATCTTGGAGCATTTTATTTCCGTTCTCTGCCTGGAAGGTGTTCCACTTTCTCCCTTTCTGTTTTGAGTATCATCTTCCCACCCCTCAAATCCTACATCAACTGTCTCCAAGTCAGGAACTCTTCCCCAATTACCCTAGCCAACAGCACCCAAGACAGTCCACTTCACTTCCCTTTCCAAATCTACTTTTTAATCACCTGTCGATTGCTTCTTTCCTCTGACTAGCATGGAAACTGGCAGTGCCAATACCAATGGCGACTGTGCCCCCATCCTAGAATCATGTCTGCTTGATAGCAGTCCCTCAGAGAAGACCTGTTTATCATGACAAAAATGGATGTCACCACAAAGAAGAATTAAATGGCAATGAGAGACACGCAGCAACTCATGTGAAAAGGGACATTTAATTTTGAGAAAAGCTGGGAAATGTCTTACAGAAAAGGATCATTTCTACACTGTCTTGGAGGAGTGGGTTGCAGACAAAAAGTGTACTAGACTCTGGAACTTGCAAAGAAACAGCTCCATTGACACAGGCTAGTTCGGAAGCATCAGAACAACAGTCACAAAACCTGAAGGGGCCCAGATGCTGTGGAGAGTTGTACTGAGAGGGGCGGAAGTGGTAAGGTGATGGGTCACGTGGGCTAAATCCTTGATTTTAGATCACAGGAAGTCACTGGAGTTGTGAGGATGCAAATTGGTATACTTTGATCTGCACTTTATCAACACTGGGAAAAAAACCTGAATTTCAAGACAAAGAACGGCATGACTTTTTTTTTTGTCTTTTTGAGGCAGGGTCTCCCTGTAGCCCCAGCTGGCCTAGAACTCCCTCTGTAGACGAAGCTGGCCTTGAACTCACAGAGATCTGTCTGCCTCTGCCTCCTGAGTGCTGGGATTAAAGGCACGCACCACCACACCTGGCATAAATAGTCACATCACTTTTAATAGGCCCATATATTCTGTATTTTGTGTATGTGTAGGGGGAACCACAATACCATATACAGATACAAAATAAAGGGGGCCAGTGATCCTAAGTACAGATTTACTTTTTTGTTTTGTCTTCAAAAACAAATAGCCATAGTACATTTGCAAATGGTTTCAAATATAAGGGTATCACTGTACTGAGGCTGAGAAAGGGGTAGCTGGATTCCAGGATTAGCTAGGTCCTGAGCTGGGAGACAAATCCAAGCAGAAGTGTTTGACTAGACAAATAGTATTTAACAGGTTAGATCACACTATTGAAGTCATTATTGATACCAAAGGCCAGCATATTATACTACTTGAACAATGTAAATATATAAATAATCCATTCTAGTCATCAACTAAGCAAAAACTACAGCAAGGATCTCAGAGCCTCCAGCCACACATGCCTTCAGAGGTACTGATTGGTCAGTGGCTCTGAGAGACTTCAGGGTGTCACTGGTGTCACTTATTTCAAGACAAAATAACTTAATGAGCACAACTTTACTCAGCAACCATGTAAGAAGGTGGAAAGGCTGAATGGTAAATACAAAAGTAAACTTCACAGAGTAAACTGCTTGTGTTTCCAGGAGTCCACAGACCCAGTGCTGTACCAACTGGCTTTCTTCTTTCTGTAGGTCAAGTAAGGCTATACAGAATACGGGCTTTGGCCTGCTGGCCTCCAAGGACAGACATGCAATTTGAAGGTACTTTTCCAGGATGATGAAGAAACACTTCCTTGTAGGCATTTGCCTTCCACCTTGGAGAATACTAAATTGACCTCAAGGAGCCGGCACCCCTGGCACATAGCTCAGCATCTGGAGAGCTGCTGAGCCAGGTGCCATGGCCATGGACGTGGCCCCCAACTAGGACTGGTACTAATGTGGTCAAAGCAGGGGGTGGGAGTCAGAGAGACCCGGACACCTACCATAGCTCTAGCTCAGAAGCTACAGGTGAAAAAGTGTAGACCAAGTTCTATAAACATAAAATGAGACTATGGAGATTTTGAGAATTAAGGCAATGCTTGGCTCTTGCCTGGCAGAGTAAGTGCTAAATAAAGGATAGCTCCAGAATATGTTCCTGATTTTAGTTTACTTATTTAGCACTCGTATTTTATGTGAGATTCTCTTGGTAGGAAAGACAAAATTATGGGACCTCACAAAACTGGGGAGGACTCAAAAGTCCTTTCATATGGTTCCCTGTTTCCAGACAATTCATTATTACTGTCATTTTACTGATGAAGTTACCAAGGACTTGAGCAGTCAGGCTGACAACCCAAGGTCGCTCAGACGATAACACCATTTAAGACACTCTCATTTGTGTCTTCAGTCATTTCCCAGTATTTGAAAGTGGTGAAGATAATTCTCTGGGCTATGAGATACCCTAAGATCAAGGCTGCCTCTGTTATTATAGATAATTTATAAAAACAAGATAAAAGCATTTAAGCCAAAGGGATCACACACTGAGTAATCAAAGTGCCAACTTAAAATATTAGACAGTGAAGAAAATGATAATGAAGCTTGTAGCCATCTTTGCTAATGCTTATTATGTTGTTAAGCAAAGACTCAGAGAACAAAATCCCATTTATGCTGTGATTATAACTAAGCAAAATTATGTACATATATAGCAAGGGCTGCAAAGGAATTTGGAAAATGACTGTGGCCAAAGTGCTAAGGGTGTACCCTTGCCCAAGTTTTAAGATCATCTAGTGGCTATAATGGAGTTGGCACCATAAACAGCACCAGAGTGATAATCACACAGAAGAGACATTGCTGCTTACTCACCCGGGGTTATATAACATGACTGCGGACAAGTTCTCACAGGACTTGGAGAGGTCGGTCATGGACAAGCTGAAGGAGGACAGAAGGCCACTCTAAGAGCAGACACAGGGTAGAGCGGTTACCTTAGCGGGTACCAGGAGGTCAGTGCTCTGTATTCATTGCCTTCTGCTTGTGACAGACAATGAGATGCACACTCATGTGAACACGCAGGACACTTGGCCGATTTGAGGCACCAGATCAAGGTCAATCAGGCTCTTGCACAAAAAACTAAATTCAAACACTGGAAATTCACCAGGTGTGCCATACCCAGAAGGCCGCCCAGCCACAATACACTGAAGTCAGGGCAGAAGTCAGGGGCTCCATCTCTGCTGCCCTTATCCTCCCTATTCCCCAGGAGACAGCATCTGCTGCCAGCAACACTCACATTTCCTGATTGACTAAGATGAAGAGGGACAGGTGAGGGTAGGCCAGTAAAGTAATAGTTGCCCTACTTGGCTTTCAAAGATAGCTCCTGGCAAACAGCTTTTCCCTCTGTCACTCTGAAGCCATGTCCGAACAGGACCCTCTGGGGAAGTCCTGGGCTGATACAGGCAATATTTACTGGCTGGACCATCAGACCAGGATTAGGCTGGAGGGTGTAACTTTGTCTTTATTTTTCCATCTAAGGTCCTGCCACCCTTGGGCAGCCCTTACCAGAAGGGGTAGCATGAGATGCTATGTCACTTGGTGGTTAGGACACAGGTCCAGGCCTGCAGGTCCAGGCCATAGTCTCAATTGCCTATCTGCTGCCCTCAGAGTCTGTTATGAACAGTCTGTCTTAGTTTCTCACCATTTATCTGTAAGTTGAGAGTGGACAGCTGCTGTGCAGACAACATGGTAGAATCTCTGCAAGAGTTAAGAACTATACCTGGCTCAAGGAAACGCTACCTGTGATCTTGACTGTCTTCAGCAGTCTAAGGACAAGTCATAATGCCCCAGGCAGATTTCTTTCCTTCATATTCAGTCCTCCCTGCTTTCTGTGGGCTTTAGCCCACCTCCCCCATGGAGCATTATGGGACCTCAGGATGGCCTAATCCAACTAAACCCATCTCTCTCAGTGGTCCTAAACCTACCCCACTCTGCCCCCCACTCAAGTGAAAAATCCAATTTACTGTGGCTGATTTGAGATAAGCCTGATTTCAATGTCAGGTTACTAAAATAGACATTGGTAAGTGAAATTCACTCTCTAGTGAATGCCACACAAAGACCAGTTCCTTTGGGGAAGTGGAGGCTAAACAGAAAGGGCTAGAAGGAGCAGTGAGAGCTGGATTCTCCTTGCTTATTTTCTACTCCATCATCTGTCAGGTAGCAAACTGCCTGGAATCTGTCCTGGGTATGGAACTTCCTTTCCAGAGGTTCTTGACTCCTGAAAGTCAAACTGAGAAGATACCCCAACCCATGTAGGATGAGCCATCCCTCCTAGAGCCCCCACCCCTCACCTTCCTCTTCTCCCTGAGCTTGGCGGCTTCCTTCGGATGGTTAAAGCGAAACATGTTGGTTCTTCCCAAGAGTATCACAGCACCTGGGAACACACAAGAGCAGCAGCAAACGCACAGTAAGTGGTCTGGTCAGTTGGTAATCGCACAGCATGGAATTCTCCTTCTAGTCCATTACAAAATAATAAAGACAAACTTCAGTCTCAAGAGCCTGCTCATGGAAGCTAATTTTAAATCTGCAAATACTTTGGCTTTTACAGCTGGGTGTCACGACATTCATAACAACCTAGACAGAAGTGATGAATCTAAGCATTACAACTTATTATGAGATTTAAAACTTAATATACATAAAATTAGACTTGTGATTGTTTGGAAGGGGAAAAAAAAAACAAAACTCTACCTCCGAGTCTCTAAAGAGATGTAAAGCATGTGATCACAAATGTAGGACAAGATGAACGCTGACAAAAGAGGCTCTCAAAGAGAAGTGCTTTCAAAAGAAATGCAGTGAAGCTGGCAGAGCACCGAGTTTCTACTGCTAAAAACACCCTTGGAATCTGATAGGAAAGAAACTACATATATGCATGATCTATTTTCAAAGGAAATTCACTGTATCTTATAAAAAACCCTATTAAAATTTAGATGTCTTCATTAATTAAAGAAAGCTCCTTTGACCAGAGACTTTATCCATATACCAACTGCCCAATGGACAAAAGACTCTAAGGCCAATGTCCAAGAATGACCAAAGCCTGGAGGACAGATTGACTTGATTAAACAAATAGTTCCAAAAGTTAGACCTTAGATCCAACACATGGGCTGTGGAGGGCGGCAAGCTCTGCTTCTTCAGAGAAGCAGTATTATACACAGACTTGCTATCCTACAGTCCCATCCATGTCCGAGAGTCAGCATCACCTCACGATTTGTGAAAGCAAGGCTTGTGCTCCGGAGGACAAGGACTCTGTGCAGCCCAGCACTTAAGGGCCAAGCAGAGGCTAGAGTAGCTTGATACAGACTTCTGAGGACCAAGACTGGTTTCACTGGATAACCAGGAGACAGGAAGTGGGCCCTGTGGGGAACCGCAGGGAAAGGTTTAGTTTTAGACAGGAGACTGCCCTGTTATGTTCAGAACAGAGGAGAAAGTCAAGCCTGGCCAGTATACAAGATATTTGTTGTTCTTTTTTTCAAATAAATAATTTACTGAGAATTTCATACATGCATATAAGGTGTTTTGATCAAACCATGCCCACTCCCTCCCCGCCAACTCCTCCCATATTTCCATCATTTTTTTCTGATAACTTCATGTTCTCTTTCTTCTTCTTTATTTTTTTATGGGGCTTTTGGCTACTCTAACATTCCCCCCTCTGAAGTGGTAGCCCTAAAATCTTTTAAGGATTAGATAAAACTCGGCAAATATTTTCGACATTTTTGGCCTTTGGCACGGAGCGTGTTGCTAAGAGACCCAAGGAAATTGTGAGCTTTAGCTAAGAAACTGGCTACTTTTTGGGGGGTCTTTTTACCCTAACTGCCTGGCCAATTCCTACCTCCTGTTCTTCTCACACCATCCTCTGAAGAGATTACCAAAATTGCCAATAGGGAATAGGGACACAGACCACTCGGGCTTCTTTCATGCTGAACAGGGATGCAGGGTGAGGCAATTGGAGTACCCTTCAGTGGGTCTATCTAAAAGACTCCCAAATTGCATAACTCTTATCTCCAAGGGAAAAAGAAAGTCCTTGAATCCTGACTATAGCTCTGTAGTATACTTTGAGATCTGGTATAGTAATCCCCCCAGCATTGCTCT